AACATCGTGCCTCCCCTCCCCCTCACCCAGTAAAGAAAAAGAAATTGTGTCATTGTTTTGTATGTATCTGTGTGTCAAGCAGGGCTGGACTGGGAATTAAAAGCAGCCCTGGAAAAAAAATATTTACCAGCCCCATTATGCGTCGCGCCAGAATAGTGTGCAGATACAGAGTTAGAACAGATAACTTAAAATTAAAAAGTACTTCAACGTAAAAAGCGCACTCATAGGCTTCAAAATAAACAAAAGTGCAGATTTATTTTAAGCAGACGTGCCTTTGCATGTAATCAATGTTTCAGTCCAACTACCTTGACATATTAAGGAAAGCTTGTTAATGGGACTGAAATGGTGAATGTATGTAGGGCACAACTGTAAAAATTTTTATTTTGAAGTCCTGTGGGTGTGCTCTTCACTTTAAATATGTTATTGTGCTGGAGTATGCACCTAGCAACAAGACTGGGCCAATATCTGCTCATTACATATGGTACATATTAATGAAATTTCTCTGTGTATTATGCATATATAAATGTACATTAATATGTAAATAAAATATAATATACACATTAATATACATGTCATATACCAGTGACAGATCCAGAGCCTGAGCCCTGGGATATGGGGCTGTAGTAGGGTATAGGAGCAGTGGTGCAATGTGTGAGGGGTGCAATGTGTGTGAAAGGTTCAGTGTGTGGGTGTGGGGGGCAGTGTGTGAATGTGTATGGTGTGTGTGTGTGGGGGCAGTGTGTGAATGTGTATGTTGTGTGTGTGTGGGGGCAGTGTGTGAATGTGTATGGTGTGTGTGTGGGGGCAGTGTGTGTATGGGGCTAGAGTTCACTCCTACTACTGCGACCACCAGGAAGTGGTGAGAGTGAACTCTAGCCCATAGCTCCAGGGCTAGAGTTCACCCTCGTGAGAGCCGGAGCGTTGCCCCGGGTCCTCTCTTTCTCCCCCTCACTGCTCCTCTGTGTCAATGTCTCCCCTCTCCTTCCCAGTCTCTCTCTTCCCCCTCTGCCTCTTTCTTCCCCTCCCCTTGTGTGTCTCTCTCATTTCTCCCTCTTTGTCTCTCTCTTCCCCCTCTGCCTCTTTCACCCCCTTTCCCTGTGTCTCTCCCTCCTCCCCATCTCTCCCCTTTCCCTGTGTCTCTCTCCCTCCAACCCATCTCTCCCCCCCTTTCCCTGTGTCTCTCCCCATCTCTCTCCCTGTGTCTCTCCCCATCTCTC